ACACACACACGCGCGCGCGCACGCACACCCACACTCACACCCACAAGAGCAATTAAGTTTTGTGCTCGTCTGTTCTTCATTTTATGAGGAAGTCAAAGTAAACCAGAACTCCTGGTAACCTTACTTTTACTTTTATCCACCGCTTATACCCTTTTGGATGTCGTGGGAAGAAAGAGACGTCTTTCTCTGCCACCAGACCGAGAGCTTGGGTCAGGGGGATGCCGTGAGTTGTGTGATTCCCTGACTCCATCTATCCAGGTCTTTCTCGGTCGCCATCTAGCCTTGCTGCCATCGAATTTTTTTTAATGTAGGCACGTTGTGCTGGATGGTGTGTTGGTAATCGTAGGAGATGTCCGAACCATTTGATTTTTTGGTGTTGGATGTGTTGCTTGACATCATTTGTGCCCACCATTTCTCTGATTACTGAGTTTCTAATTTTGTCTCGCCTGGTCTTTTTACTGCTTTTTTAAAGACAGCGCATTCCACATTTTGCAATTTTTTACTCTAATGTCTTGTTCGTTGTCCACGTTTGGCATTGATAGGTGAATGTTGGGATGAATATGGTGTTGATTTTTTTGAGTTTTGTTGTCACGGGGATGTTATAATGTTTCAGTAGTGGAGTAAGCTGGTAACTAACATTATTGGCCTTTTGTGGTTTTTCAACGTAACAATTCTGCTCCAGGCGGCATTCTGCACATGCAGATGTACATGACCTCAGCGCCCCCCAAGACCGACATGAAAGGCCTGGGTTTGCAACTGGCGCTTGACCTGGTGCATGAGAGCGAGAACACGGACCTCATCACGGGCCTACAGACTCGGACACAGGCGGGCAGGCCGGACTTCCCCGCGGTGAGACGCTCGAAGGCAGCGCTTCTTTTTTCTTTTCTTTCGATTTGTTTTTGTCTCAGTATTTTTTTCTCTGTGTCTCTCTCTCTCTTCTCTCTCTCTCTCTCTCTCTCTTTCTCATCTTTCTCTCTCTTTCTCATCTTTCTCTCTCTTTCTCTTTCTCTCTTTTCCTCTGTCTCTCTCTTTCTTTTTCTCTATTCCGCACTGTCTTTTTGTCAATCTCTTTCCGTCTCAGTCAGTTTTCCTGCTATTTGTCTATTAATCTATCTATCTACTATCTATCTATCTATCTATCCATCTGTCTATCTATCTATCTATCTATCTATCTATCTATGTATTTATCTATCTATCCTATCCCTTTATATTTTTATTTATATTGTTATGAATGTTAACTTGGAAGTGTCTACATCATGCAAACAGTGATGAATCATAATATTTCCTTATCTGAGAACGCCGAAAGTGTTGCACGTTTATGAATATTTTGTCTCCTGCCGTCATTGTTGTAAACTAACTCCTTGCGATCACTTTGGGCCCTTGCAAATAAAACTCGCCGGCTTACAAACAGATAGAGAGTGGCTCTAATAAAACAACGACGCAACAGAGCATACTACACATGCCAACTGAACTTCCACTTGGAAAACAATCAAGAAGCGATTCAAAGACAACAGAAAAGTTGACATTGAGAGACTACTACACTCGATGCTTTGTTTTATTTATGTTTCTTTATAGCTCATTTTGCTGTCGTTGTTGTTGTTGTTGTTGTTGTTGTTATTGTTGTTGTTGTTGTTGTTGTTGTTTTTGTTGCTCCTGCTGTTGCTCCTGCTGTTGCTCCTTCTATTGTTGTTGTTGTTATTGTTGTTCTTGTTGCTGTTGTTGTTGTTGTTGTTGTTGTTGTTGTTGTTGTTGTTGTTGTTGTTGTTGTTGTTGTTGTTCGTATAAATAACTAGAAACACATCAACACAAACAGGAGCACCTACGCGTGGCTCTCTCCAACAAAAAGAACGTTCAGTTTTACCGTCTCTGCCCCAACCACAATAATCTGCTACGAATATCAATCGGAAAAGATCGTAGAATTGATTGGTTATTTAAAAGAAAATACTACACAAAAAATATACGTCGGTCTGTAAATAGATTTTTGATGACTTGCGACCTTGGGCTGTTGCCTTTGTTTATTTGGGGTTTTTTTCGGTGTGTGTTGTGTTGTTGTTGTTTTTGTTTGGTTGTTTGTT